AAAAAATAAAAAATAACACTATTTTTCCTATGAGATGCCACCTTCTGTGAAGTCCATAGCATGCAATTAAATTGGTGCTTCTAGAGCTGACATTGGAATGACAGTTCCTTGATATAGCAGTTGCATCACAGAACTTCCCTGTCTTATTTAGGCAGGAATTTGGACTTTTAACTTAATGCTAGTAACGCGAACTTGAAACAGACAGAAGAATACAAGTCTTAATCCCTTAATGAATCTGAAAAGCGTGTCACTAGCACTTAATAAGTTTTAATGTTAAACTTTTCTGTCTTATCAGGTGGTCTTTCTTACAAGTCCAATTGTGGTAAAAATCCTGTATTTTTTTTTTTTTTTAAAAAAAAACCTCCCCTTTTTGAATTTAAAACCTCACTAGGTTGCACACAATTTTGATATAATGAAGATAATACAAATAACACTGAATGTTGCCAAGGATGAGTAAGCTGAAAAACAAAAGACTGTATTGAAGGATTAGTGCTCCCCCCACAAAAGAAGAAAAGATGTTTCTTTTTCTGAGAAACTGGATTAAATATTTTTCGAATATTTGCAAATATTTTTCAAAGCATGGCTTTGAATGTAGCCCAATACAAATTTGTAAACCTTCTTAAAACATTATCAGATGTTTTCGAGTTTTTTTTTTAAACTAATTAGCTATTGTTAGTGTATTTTATGTATAACCCAAGACAATTCTTCCAACATGGCCCAGAGAAACCAAAAGATTGGGCACCCTTGATCATAACATAATTTTATAAGAAATCTCATGTTTTAAATAAATTTCTTCTTCTAATAAAAAAAGTTTAGTAGAATATTTTAATTTATAGAGTAATATTTTTAATAAAATACTTTTGTTTATTCATCTAAGTCACTTCTGCCATAAGGGAGTTAATAGAAGATAGAGCGAAACATAGGTGATTGATAGATAGATAAATTAGATAGATAGATAGAAAAATGGAATGCCCACTTCTTGTCTACCTATCTTGTCTACCTTTCTATGTTTCATAAAATTTACTATGTCACATTTCAGAGATATTTTAATGTTTACTTATTGGCTTTCCTTTCAATTTCTTGCTACCTCATAATAAAGAAGAAATTTCAAATGCAAAGTACATATGCAAAATATCATGAAAACATCCAAAGCTGTGTATATTTGCATTAGATAGTGGAAATAACTTAATGAATTTAAAGTCAGCCGCTCATGGATCAGAATCTTTGCTTTGGTCTTTGTCAATTGTGTATCCATGGCTTAACTATTACTATGTCTCAATTTATTCATTTATTAAAGGGAGATATTTATGCTTACCTATTTAGAGATAATGCCCAGTTAGTAGATGTAGAAAACATAAGTTTTATGTAAAAAGTGGGGCTTATTGAATATACACAGAAAAAATCATTTTCCCCACTGTTTATGCAATTGTCACTCCAATTGCTCATTTGGATAAAAAATAGAACACATGACATGACTTCTAATAACTCTTAGGTAATTAAAAGTTATTTGCTTATTCCAGTATTAAAAAGTGCATTAATTCAATATTTAATATATTTATCTAGTAAATAATAAAATACCAATCTTCATTCCAAGAAATTTATCTCCTCCTACCTAGCTTGCTCCAAATAAACTGCCTACTATGAGGAAGGAGTACATGAGGAGTTTTTCTCTATTTTTCTACCTCACACGTCTCCTAAATTCTGGGCTGATTTTAGTGCCTTTAGCATTGAAGTGGAGAACAAATTGTAACTTAAGGGGCAAGAAATTTGTATTTTATTAGTAATATTGTGAGATAGCTGTAATGCTTCTGGCACACAGCAGTTGGTTAAAGAGGATTCTTTTTCTTGTAAGGCACATTTTTAAGCCTTTCCCTGCCCTCACCAGCGGTCTTCTATAAGCTGTCCCTCTAAATCAGGAGAATGTATTTCCTCTGTCAGGTCACCTAGGTTTTCACACTTCAAAGTCAGACCACATTCAGACCACATCCCTGTTGGGTACTTATTTTTTGCAGGAATTTAAGACAATCTTATAGAGAGAATATAAGACAATGCCAGGCCAGTTCTCTTTCAGACATATGCCCCAATTTTGGTACATGAAATCAATAACATGTCTTTATTCAAACAAGCTCTGGGGAACATGCCACCCTAAATATGTTCTCTCAAAGAAAGTATACAGCCATGTATAGTCTTTAGATTTCTTAGACATGTCAGACAGCAGTGCGTAAGTTCCTCAACCTTCAAAAAGCACACAGCAAACAAACACACTCAGTAGCTGTGTTGAAGCATTTCCTTAGGCTTCAGATAAGGGGAAAGAATTCCCACCACACCAAGTGTTTGCTAAGAAGTGCCTATACATGAGTTTGGTCACCCTTTCCTCTTATCAAAATTAAAAGCCCAAAAGGTTAAGAACTGTGACTTTAGAGAAAAAAAATTTAGAGTACAGTAAGACTGCTTACAATTTTATAATTTTAGCTTGACAAATATCTTATCCCACTTTCATATACTTTCATATGTGAATATGTAGTTACTCTCTCTGTCTTAGGGTCCCAAGTGAAACTGTAACTTAATGTTTTCTAGAAAAGCTTAAAATAAAAAATCAAACAAAATAACAGTCTACAGTGTTGGCTCATGCCTGTAATCCCAGCATTTTGTGAGGCAGAGGTGGGCAGATGACCTGAGGTTGGGAGTTCGAGACCAGCCTGACCAACATGGAGAAACCCCGTCTCTACTAAAAATACAAAATTAGCCAGGTGTGGTGGGACATGCCTGTAATCCCAGCAGGTGCCACCACTTGGGAGGCTAAGGCAGGAGAATTGCTTGAACCTGGGAGGTGGAGGTTGTGGTGAGCCGAGATTATGCCCTTGCACTCTAGCCTGGGCAGCGAGAGCGAAACTCCATCTCAAAAACAAACAAACAAACAAAAAAATTATGAGTTGTGTGCCTAGCACATAATATTTAGTAATTAATAGTTGTTTTTCCTTATATTAAAATACACTTAGTTTTATGCTAGAGCTATTAAAGGGAATCAATTTCAGGTAAATAATTTCCTGGAAAAGGCAATTGTTTTACTTTGACAGGTGAGCAACGGTAAAAATAAGTTTTACCGTATTGAAGTAGACATTGTACTACTTCAAAGGAGTACATGGTTGTTTTCATACAAGGTTAAGTTACTTATAATCCTAGGAAGTAGAAAAATGAATGAAGTTCTATTTCTTAGAAAGATAAAAAAGTATTAGACCACATAAACTTTTTCTGTCTTGGTTCTATATCACTAGAAGTTTGGTGCTGCTTTTTTTTTTAAATTCACTTCAGTCATTAATATGACAAAAACATGTACAACAATCTAAGTTTCTCAAGTCATTTACATGTGCTTGATAAAGCTAGAAATGTACTCAAAGTTTAAGAAGAACTTCGCCCTAAAAATAACAAGTTCTTAAAAATCATTCCTGTGCTAAAATGGAAAAATGTGTTAGATATCTCCTAAGGAATACTGAGGAAGGCTACTCTGCTGAATGAATTAGTGAAGAAAGGTCATTTTCCGTGGCAGAGATTTTAATTCCATTGGAAATATGGTCTTCAATACAGGATTGGTAACCTCCTTAAGGAAAAAATAGGAAACCAAAGAGAGGAGAAACACAGAACATGTTCAGACAGACTAAGTTTTACAATAGGAAAATCATCATCTCCAAATACTGAATGTTATAGAATTTTAAATCCATGCAAAGAAGGAAACTAGTAAGACACTTATGTGACTGTAAAATCAAATAGTATATCAACCCTAGCAATATAGAAATATCAATGCATAATTTTATAAAATTCAATATTGGTATATTCCTAGATAGCAAGATTTGCATCAGTCCATAACTAATGAACAGATCTGAATAAAACTGAACAGTAATATGGGTATGCAGTTAGATTTACTTGGACGTATCAATTCCACCTGAAGTATGAAGTACACTAAAATAATTGACTATTTTTATAATTTGCACCATTGAACGGCCAATGCTAATATGATATTGGCAGTGAGATACCTTCAATAAGAAAACGAAATAGCACACTTGTCATCTTCATTATTCTCTTGAAGAGTACTATTTTGGTACATGCGTGTGCATGTGTCCTTGTGAGTCCAAATGGCAACACTGCATGGAAATCATGAACATAAAATTGTGAAGCAGGTTCACTGTGTACTGGTATCAAACCCAGGATAGGACGTGAAACACCAGACTAATATCATAAACCAGTATCAATCCACTTACATGGGTCCAGGAAGACAGAACACTTACACGACATGTTTCAAGTGAAGCAAATTTTTCACTCACAGACAGGCAGCATGGAGCAACATAGCCTAGGATTCACAATGGACTCATCTGCAGAGGCTCAGGAAAGCTGCCCAGGGTGATGCATGGAGTCTCTTCTGTACATGCCCCATTTCGCACTGCAGCTGAAGAATCCCCAAAGTGGACTCCACCCTGGGTTTTATACCTATGAACTCTTAATACTCCGGGCTAAAGCATTTCATGACAGAATATTCTAGAAAAAGATGAAAACAGAGCCCAGGCTGTTTTGGTCGATCCCTCCTTACCGCAGAATGTGACATGACTAGCACATTCGGCAGTCATTCAAGTGAAAAAGGGAGAAAGAGCTGGGTCACCAAAGACCTCTGGGGACTTGTCCTGCAATAATTAGTTTATGAAACATTACTAATAAGTATGATTTTCTTTATTATTTTTTTACACTGCAAAAAGATAATCTATTTACAGAAGAGTGATTTAAAGACATTATGGTTTTCTTTACAAATAGATGTAAGAACAGGAACTGTCCACTTTTTAAAAACTCTACATTTCAACCCTCCACTATTATAGTCCACTGAATTGCCTGTAACAAAGTCAGTTTCTTGTTATTTTTTGTTGACTCTCCAAATAAATTTCCATCATTTCTTCATCATCTGTGGGCTGGCTATCCTGAAAAGTCTCAGGGCATAAGTCATAGAAGGCCAGGTTTTTGACCTGCTACTAAAAATTAAACCGTCAAAAACTGGAGATCCCTTTCCTGCACCCTGTTCCTCTCACTTTGGGCAGTTCAGTCATCACTATCCGAGAGGGTCTCATACTGTGCTGAGAGGAGCGAGGCAGGCCCCAGCTCCCAGATCCTGTTCTGTTGGTGAGGAGCTGCTTGGTTCACAGCAGACGGAGCACACGCAATCAGTGTTGGTGGCGTACTGCTTAGCATGTGCATAGTCAGAGGGTTATAGGGAAACTGAGTTGAGCCTGTTGAAGAGGGACTGTCTTCCCAGGCCCACCCTGGCATCTGCCTATGGTAATCTCCTTCTGAATGTACAGAGGAGACTGAAGACGGCCGTTCGGTTCCTGAGTAGCCTTACCCAGGGATAGGAGATTTAGATTTCCTGCTATTTGACTTGCTGATCAGCTTTGGTTTGCAAACTCCTCCTCAATGAGGTGATGGGTCCCCTTCCTCTCTCCGTGTCTCACCACTGGTCACAACTGAGGTGTTGGCAGTAACAGACACTACTACCATAGGCTGGGACATGACAACTCCATGATCCTCAACTTTGGCATCAAAGCTTCCCATGAGAGCCTTCCTGATAATGTCTTCCAGCCCAAGATTACTGGCAGGATCAGCAAAAGAATGGCCTCTAGAGCTAACTGAGCCTGATGTAGTAACTGCTGGCAGATTAAAGATCTCAGTTCCTGGCTGAGCAGCTGGAAAAATCTCCTGCCTCTTTCATTTAACCACGGGTGATATGTTTTCAAGCTTGGTGAAGAATGAAGGCAAGTAGCTTATACTCCCTGGTGAGCGGGAGTATAAATCATTCCTCTGCTCTGTAGGCTCTGAGCCCCTCTGAGACAAGAGCAGCAAGCTGTCCTGTTTCTCATGTACAACTGGAACCTGGGGTGGGGAGATGGGCTCGTACGGCTCCGAAGAGACGTGACTCCTCTCTGGGAATGTTCCAGGCCTACTTCCCCTGGATTTGTCCACAAGATTTTCTGGAGAGACTCTTGAACCTGGTCTTTGATGATGGGCAGACTGAGCCTGGGATTCTGGGCTGTAACTGTTTGACGTTTTAGTCCTCACAGGTGTAGACACCAACGAGGATGGTGAGTTCTGGAATGTAGAATTAGGAGGCTGCTGGGGAGTCTGCGAGGAAACTTGATTTCTAGCAAAATCTTGTGTGATAATTTGACAGATGTGATCAGCAAGTGTGATCAGCCGATGGGTCCTAGGCACTTGCCCCATCCCTCTGCCTGTGAAGAAGGGGGCAACTGTTGTTGGGGAGATGACGAATCCTGCTGTGGTCGATAGTGAGGTAATGGCCCTTCATATTGTCTGGTAGGATCATTTTCAGCTTGATTTGCCTTAACAACCTCTGGTTGATAGGTCTGCAGCTTTTCCTGGGGTGGTATAGGCGAGATGGCAGGACTTATCACCTCAATAGCATCGTTAGGTTTTTCATACCTGTGTGAAGATAAGCTACTAGAAGAGTTGAACTTTAATACCCACGTTCCCTCGCATCCTTGTCCGAGACAATTTGCCGAGTGATGATCACGTCTATGAAATTAGCTGCAGTAATGGTAGTCTTCCCTCGGGTCCTTAGCTCTTCCTCATATCTGGATTTTGGAGGAGGCCCTTTATCTTTCCCAGCCTCAGAATAAACTACTGAAGAATGAGGCTGGGGCTTGCCACTTGGAAAGGCTGAAGAAGCATATAAACACTGAACAGATCTCTTCACCTCCAGGGTTTTCTGCTCTAGCTGCTGCTGTTCACTAACTGCTGCTGAACTGCTTCTCAAATTTTCTTCTAACCTGGCAGCTTCATGCTTACTCTCTTTTGTTTTGGACACATCCATCTGGGGTGCAGAAGCTGCAGCATCCACAAGAGCGGCCAGGGCATTCGCAGCCGTGTTGTAACCGGAGGCTGGCAGACCTTGGCTTATTGAAGGGCCAAGGTCTGCTGATATTGTTTACATTACAATTTATCAAATCAATTATAATTCATTATAATTGATTTGATAAATTGTAATGTAAACAGTATCATTATAAATAATGGTAGAAATAAAACATTTCTTCATTTGCTATTTTTGTCCCATAAGAGTGATTCCTATAAATGGGATTATTGCTGTGTCAAGGGATAGACATTTTTTAAAATGTTTGATCTGTGTTGCAAAATTGCTTCTCATAAAAGCTGTGCCAACTAAATTGCCCACAAATGCAATTTACATAGGTCATACTTAGTATCTACTTTACTATACCAGAGGAACATTGATGTGTACAGGAAATTTTACATGTACACCTCTGAGCATTAAAAAAAATAGCTATTTAAATTTCATCTAGAATTATTGTTTGTTCCTTTCTATACTTGGGTATATTATTTTTTACAATATTTAAAAATATTTACCACTGGATTTTAAGATTGTCTAAAATTTGTTATGATTTCTTTATGTTAGCAATAATCTGTTAGAATTCATTACAAAAAATAATTTTCTTGATAATAACAATAACAACAGCAATAAAACAAAGTTAATGGATGTGCTAATAAATAGGCAAGAATTACCAGCATAACATTTGGAAGATTAGAAAGACAGTGACAAATATTGTTTAAAATATTTTGACAAAATGTAAGCATAAGAGTAAAGAGAAAATAATAACAATAGAATCCCTTGATATTTAATATCTAGATTTTACAATTATACATGTACATCATTTCACAGTTTTAATTTGTTTGGAAAACCCCTGATGATAAATGAAAAGCTGACAAGTAGAAAAATATTTGTTGACTTTAATTGGAAAACTATGATGACTACTATCCCACTATGAAATATTCCACTATGATATACTTTGTGCCCCTTATGATATGCAAATGCTATCACAAATTGAAAACAATTAAACAGCATATTTTACATAAGTATTAAATAACAATTGAAAAGCAAAACATTGAAGATAAGACATAATTCAGTAGAGGTTCATCTTACTCAGCAAAAGAAGACTAGATAATGGGTGATAGTATGTAGAACAGGGTTCTACTGTTTAAAATATGCATTGTTTTATTGCACACCATTTTTTACATTAATTTTTTCTTAGCCAAAAGTAGACATCAAAATATTTTGCACTTAAACTATATTTAAGAATAAAGCTTAACACAGAAAACCTCCTGTTAGGGCAAAATAAAGGCTGAAGAACAAGAATACATTCTTATTTAATTTTTTTATTTAATTGTTTTAATTTAATTTAATTTATTTAATTGTTTTAATTTTCATTTTTTTCTTCGACTTTTATTTTAAGTTCAGGGCTACATGTGCAGGATATGCAGGTGTGTTACGTAGGTATACATGTGCCATAATGTAGGTAAACATGCCATAATGGTTTGCCACACAGATCATTCCACCATCTAGGCATAAACCCAGTTATCTATTAGCTGTTCTTCTTGCTGCTCTTCCTCCTGCTATCTGTGCCAACAGGCCCTAGTGTATGTTATTCCTCACATGTGTCTATGTGTTCTCATTATTCACCTCCCACTTATAAGTAAGAACATCTGGTATTTGGTTTTCTGTTTCTGTGCTATTTTGCTGAGAATAATGATTTCCAATTCCATTCATGTTCCTGCAAAGGACATGATCTCATACTTTTGTATGGATGCGTAGTATTCCATGGTGTATATGTACCATATTTTTTTTATCTAGTCTATCATTGATAGGCATTTAGGTTGATTCTGTATCTTTGCTATTGTGAACAGCACTTCAACGAACATATGCATGCATGTACCTTTATAACAGACTGATTTATATTCCTTTAGGTATGTACCCACTAATGGGGTTGCTGGGTCAAATGCTATTTCTGCCTCTAGGTCTTTGAGGAATCGCTGCACTATCTTTTGCAATGGTTAAGCTAAGTGACACTCCCACCAACAGTGTAAATGTGTTCCTTTTTCTCTGCTACCTCACTAGCATCTGTTGTTTCTTGACTTTTCAATAATAGCCATTCTAACTGGCATGAGATGGTATCACAATATGGCTTTGACTTGCATTTCACTAATAATCAATGATCTTGAGCTTTTTCTTCATATGTTTTTTGGCCACATGTTTGTCTTCTTTTGGGAAGTGTCTGTCCCATAAGAACAGAAAACCAAACACCGCATGTTCTCATCATAAGTGGGTATTGAACAATGAGAGCACAGGGACACAGGGAGGGGAACATCACAAACTGGGGCCTAGAGAGTGGGAGGCTAGGGGAGGAATAGCAGGTGGTGGGGGAATTAGGGAGAGATAGCATTAGCAGAAATACCTAATGTAGATGACAGGGTCATGGATGCAGCAAACCACTACCGTGGCATGAGTATAGCTGTGTAACAAAACTGCAGGATCTGCACATGTACCCCAGAACTTAAAGTATAATTAATTAATTAATTAATTAAAAAATAAAAGTGTCTGTTCATGTTCTTTGCTCTCTTTTTTAATAGAGTTGTTAGTTTTTTCCTTGTAAATTTAAGTTCCTTATAGACTCTGGATATTAGACCTTTGTTAGATGGTTAGATTGCAAAAATCTTCTCCCATTTTGTAGTTGTCTGTTTACTCCAGTGATAGCTTCTTTTGCTCTGCAGAAGTTCCTGAATTTAATGAGATTCCATTTTTCAAATTTGCTTTTGTTGCAATTTATTTTGGTGTTTTCCTCATGAAGTCTTTGCCTGTGACTATGTCCTGTGTGGTATTGCCTATACTTTCTTCTGGAGTTTCTATATTTTTGGGTTGTATATTTAAGTCTTTAATTCATCTTGAGTTAATTTTTGTATATGATGCGAGAAAGGGGTCCAGCTTCAATTTTCTGCATATCGCTAGCCAGCACTCCCAGCACCATTGATCAAATATGGAGTCCTTTCCCCATTGCTTGCTGTTTTCAGGTTTGTCAAAGATCAGAGGCTTGTAGGTGTGCTGTCTTATTTTTGAGTTCTCTATTCTTGTTCCATTGTTCTATGTGTCTGTTCTTATACCAGTATCATGCTATTTTGGTTACTGCAGCATTGTAGTATAATTTGAAATTAGATAACATGATGCCTCCAGCTTTGTTCTTTTTGCATAGAATTGTCATGGCTATTTAGACTCATTTTCATTTTCATATAAATTTTAAAATAGTTTTTTTCTAATTCTGTGAAGAATGTCAATGCTAGTTTAATGAGAATAGAATTGAGACTATAAATTACCTGGGGCATACTGCCCATTTTCATGATGTTGATTCTCCCTATTTAAGAGCATGGAATGTTTCTCCATTTGTGCCCTCTGTGATTTCTTTAGGCAGTGGTTTGTAAGTCTCTTTGAAGAGTTCTTTCACTTCCCTTATTTGTAGCAATTGTGAATGGGAATTTATTCATGCTTTCTCTCTCTGCTTGCCTGCTGTTAGTGTATAGGATTGCTAGCAATTGTTACACATTGATTTTATATCCCAAGAGTTTGCTGAAGTTGCTTATTAGCTTAAGCTTTTGGGCTGATAGAATGGGATTTTCTAGATATAGTATCATGTCATCTGCAAACAAAGATAATTTGACTTTTTCTTTTTCTATTTGAATATTCTTTCTTTCTTTCTCTGGCTTGATTCACCTGTCCATAATTTCCAATACTATGTTGAATAGGAGTGGTGAGTGATGGCATCTTCCAATTTTTGCCCATTCAGTATATGGGTTGTCTGTGGTTTTATCATATATGGCTCTTATTATTTTGATGTATGTTCCTTCAATACCTAGTTTATTGAAATGACCAGAAAAATTCACAGCTGAATTCTACCAGATGTACTAAGAGCTGGCACCATTTCTAATGAAACTATTCTAGTAAATTGAAAAGGAGGGACTCCTCTCTAACTCATTCTATGAGGCCAGCATCAGGCTGATACCAAACCTAGGAGAGATACAATAACAAAAATTTTAGGCCAATATCTTTGATGAACATTGATACAAAAATCCTCAGTAAAATACTGGCAGACCAAATCCAGCAGCTCATCAAAGCGCTTATCCACCAGGATCAGGTTTTCTTTGTCACCAGATGCAAAATTGGTTCATCACACATAAATCAATAAATGTGATTCATCACATAAACAGAACTAAACAGAAAAAAACACAGGATTACCTCAATAGATTCACCACATAAACAGAACTAAACAGAAAAAACACATGATTATCTCAATAGATGCAGAAAAGGCATTTGATAAAATTCAACATCTCTTTATCTTAAGAATACTTTCTAATTCATGGAAACACTTTCTAATGCATGGAAATGGTATGAATAGAAAATGTATGGGAAATTCATAGAATATGCCATTTGTCCATATCTTTCAACTGTTGAATGTAGGCAAAGTTAAACATTTTGAGTTCACGCTAACATGGTGCACAATTAAACATTTGTTTCATGGGATATTCTCTGACAAGAAACTGCTATGTTAACTAAATTAGAATCTAGAGTGTGTCTTTTCCCACTTATGATGTATTGAAACATAACTTCTTTAGTCTAGTTAGTATGTTTATAGATTTAAAAAAGTTATTCTTTTATAAAAAGAAATTCATGTTCTACAGTAGAAGTAAATGGATCTGACAAAAGCAAATTTTAAATGCCTCATTATATAATTACCATATTATTATTTTTAATGAGCTTTTTTAATTGTATTTTAGGTTCTGGGGTACATGTGCAGATCATGCAGGATTGTTGCATAGGTACATACATGGCACTGCGGTTTGCTGCCATATTATTTAATTGCCATATGCATAATCTTCACAAATCATTTTAAAGCAAATATCAGATATTATGACTTTCATCACTAAGTAGTTTACTATGCATCTTTATAAAAGACATTTTCTTAAAAATATGATTAACCCTCACAAAATGTTTTTAAAAATATTTAAATATAACATGCAACTTATATCAAATTTTCCTCAATTACCCCTCAAATGTCTTTTTACTATTGATTTCAGTAGTA